GATACATGCCCATAGTGGGAAAACAAAATATGAAAAAGATGGGTAGCGGTATAAGTTGATTGACTTTGATAATGAATAGCGCCAGTAAACATCAGGCATCAAATTGCTTGGTATGACGGTATACCCCTCTCCCCATATCAAATTTTAAAAACATGATTAGACCAACTTTACTGAATTTTTTTTTATAGCTTTTTAGACGTTGTCTGTGTTTGTTCATTACTCCGTTGACTGTGCAATTTGAAATCGTTTTTTTATGGGACCCGCATGGAAGTTTTGTAGTTGTTACTTTTTATGGCTTATCCTATTAATAAGGGTTGTTTGTTACACTTTGCCTTCCTTGTCCTGATGTTTTAATTACATGATTAATAAATAAATTCAATCCAAAATAATCAAAATTGATTGGAAATGGAACTTAAGAATATTTCTTAAAATTGTTTGCCAATTTTCCAAAAGATAATGGTTCCTATGTTAAGAATTTCTAAAACCAATTTAGGCATGTTAAATTGTTTTATATATTGCTCTGCTAATAATGATACAATGCGAATACAATACTTTATATAATTGTAATATAATAAATATAACTTTTTATAAAATATATAAAAAATTAAATGCCGAAATTTTCTCATAAAATGCAGTTAGAAACAAATACAATAAAATATAATGAAATCGTCAATGAAATAACATTCATGCATTTAAAATGTATAAATACAGCTGTATATCAACAAAGAGCTAAGGTAAATTATTTAAAACTGTATACTGTCTAATTTGTTTATGTTGTTCTATATACATGGAGATAATAATAGGTAAAGTGGGTTCTAACACACTTGAGTTGTAAAATGACAGAATTGGAAAAATCAGTAAAATCTTGTAGGCTATGTTAAAATCACTTTAGCGCTTGAAGATAAAAAGTATATTTAATTCTCTGATCTAAGAAACGTTTGAATATAATATACTCAATGTCACCAACAATCCTCTATGCAATTCAATGTGAATATTATAATCGTATCTACTTTCAACGCAGTACTGTGTTACCCACTTCGCCTCCGCTATCATCTGAAGTCAAATGCAATGCAGTCAGTCTCGTATACATTTATATAGGTTGATGTATGCAAATTAGGCTTCCAGTTTGGATTAAAGTCCATCTAAAATGACATATTCTAGGTACTTTTAAAATGTCATAAAATAATAAAAAATTGTATACATAATAAACATATCGGTGGCTTTCCTTTTATTTTCAGATAACGCGTTTTTCTGAAAACGAGTTTTAAATCACCTTTTTTACTGATTTCTGTATCGCTAAGCCCCGCCTTCTGATTCTGACCTTTACCGGAGATGACATACACTCGGTACAACATGATACAGGATGTTCGTGGAATCGCGACTCTTGGCAACATAAACATATTATATAGTAGGATTCATGGGTTTACGATATTCTCAGTAAAGGCCAGGGATATTTCACAATCTACAATCATGGACAATTATACATTAGGTCTAAACCATGTTTATTTTGTAGTGTATGTTGCTTTGGCGTATGGTGCTCAACTTTTTGTTGTTAATAATTTTTTTTATCTATGTTAAATTTGTGATTAAGTAATTAATTTAAAGACTCCTTGTCATATTTTAGTTAAAACAAGTTTTATTGGGATGCGTGGAAAAAGAATATTGATATTTTATTGATAAAAGTAAAATTAACCACCGATTTTTTTTTTTTTTTTTTTTTTTTTTTTTTGAGATGTGACGCTAAGCAATGCAGTGCATCATTTAGAGATCTATTTTCTTACATACTTGATTATTAGGTGTTGCTCTACTCTATTCCAAAAGGGAAAAAAGTTGCTGCTTGTTACCATACCACGATAACTAAGAATTCAAAAAGTCCAATTAGTTTCAAATTTGGCAAAATACAATGAATGAATTTTGTGACTATTAATTAACGCAATTCCCAAATTTGTAATATACATTTTTCGGTAGCCACACACCGCGTCGTGCGCTCGTCCTACCCAAATGTCCATATAATTAGCAAAATACTAACTTTAACGTCATACTAACACTACTTATTCAATATGGAGCACTGTCTGTTGTATGTAAGAAACTACAGCAACAATACCTATATATTTTACAATTATTATAACATTTTCAGTTTGGTTTGCCAAAACCATGGTATTTAGTGTCTAATAGAAACCCTATAATTAAAGACCCACAATCAACATGAGTCCCAAATTGAAAGAATCTACATCCGGGAGATATGTTTAATTGAGTTTTCTTAAGACATCAAAATACATTTTGCTGTCTGGGAGACAGTTAATAATACAGTAGCAGAAACTTTGTAGAACCATGTAAATATCATTATGAATTTGTGGGAGGTGGTTTATTTTGGGCATTGCTTGCTCGTGGAAGTGCAAGACTTCCCGCCGATTTCAAAAAGGGACATTCCGGGAATCTGCAAGAGGTTTTGGACTTTAAATATGGTCTTTCAATTTAGATGGAAATTAAAAATAATGCATCACATGTTTTTAAATGGATTTAAAGTTATTGCATGCTGTTAGAAATTTTTAAATAACACATTTAATGGTAGCCTGAAAAAAAAAATATCCATTAAAATATTACTAACAGTGCCAATAACATTATCGTTATTCAATATACAATACACAAAAACACTGCACACAAAATAATGCATTGGCTAATATTTCTAGATGTAGTATATTTTTATTGCATTAACAAATGGAGTAATAATTATTTCACCTTAAAATAATTTTAACGCCATGAATAACATCATTATTTGATAGTGGTCTTTTTTGGAGAAAACAGACCGGCAAATTTTAGTTATATCCAGTGATAAACTTCACCAAATAACAATATTGAATTACTCAATTCAGTATAATTAACATAGTATAATCAAGTTATCAACCTCCAAAGCTGAAACACTTATTTTTAGTATTTAGTATTATATCCCACAGAAAGTAAATGTACGTAAACACGGGCGTTTGTTGGACAAAACATTCATTAGCACAAAAATAAAAAAATACATGCACATTTCAATGATGCAATAAAATACTTAAAATTGCATTTACTTTACAATCTGCAAGTTTTTGCAAAGTAACAGTTGTACGTTAAACAATTAACAAGATAATGCATAATAATATAACGATCGTAGACTAAATATTTGCAGAAATACTTTTACAAACATTAATAGTAAAATTTAAATTCTACTATAATCTTATAAATAGTTAGTCTATATCTAAATATGGATGAAAACTAACAACGGAATGGAGCATTAAGCGATATAATGTAAGCTACCAAAATATATACATACATACATTTATTTGGAAAAATTATCCTTATAAACATAAAAAAATAAACTTTTATTTTGGACCGCAAACAAGGGTGGTATTTTATTGGATGTGACTTCAATTAGATGGAGAACTGGCACTGTACTCTGCAGTTCTATAAGTTTTTATTTTTTATTGAAGTTTACTTTTATATTTTAATTCAACCACCCGATTTGGCATAAAACTGGGAAAATACAAAAAAAGCAGTAATAAAATCAATGAAAATTAGATATTTGTAAACATTTGCTTATTCAACTGGTTCATTTCGTTGTCTACGATTTTATCCTTGAGTATTTCTATGCGACTGGTTCGTAAAATAGACTTAGTTGACAATAAAAAAGACTTAGATGACAATAAAAATAGAGTTAAATTATCCACGTGACAAAAATTTAGATTAATTTTTAGAAAGCAAAAATTATAACATTTACCACATGAAGTCAAAAATATCTGTAGGCTAATAGAATACAAAAACTCGATTAAAACAATTTTTTTTACGAAAAATCCATACTGCCACAAGCCGAAGCAACCTAATTACGCAGCGTGGATCGTGGTAAACTATGCAGCCATTGTGTTCAGTCGAGTATTTACCAGTTTTCTATTCGACTTCGTTATAGTAGGATTTTACAACTGTGCAGGTGGGCGTGGTTAAACAAAGAACGACCAGTTGAATACGGCCAATGTTTAAATGTTGTTGTTCAGGTTCAGCTCAACACAGACAAAAGGACTGTATGTGAGAAGGGCTGTAGACAGGACATGGATGGCAACCATTGTTAGCCAAACTGCTAAGAGCAGACGACACTTTGTTGTTACCTTTATTACAGCTTTGTGTTTTTATGTTGCAGCTATTGACTTTTATAAAATTTAAAATTTCTTTATTGTCCAAAGAAGAAAATTTATGGCGGGAACATTTTTATTGGAATAAATGTATACATACACACTTTGAACTATTTATTGAAGACTTTTAACTTATTATAACCTACCATCAGTAGGTAAAACTTTTACATATATACATACATACGTAATACAAATAAAAATAGCAAACTGCACGCATAACTATAAGGTCAAAACAAAACAACCGTTATATATAAATAGCTTTATTCGAAAAGTACACGTTTGAATCAGTGGCACACGTTTATGCGGTGCGTTCACAATAAAACTATAAACCAATAATAATAATAATAATAATAATAATAATAATAATAATAATAATAATAATAATAATAATAATAATAATAATAATAATAATAATAATAATAATAATAATAAAACCATGGGTAACAATTCGGTTAATTGCGCAAGTAATCATGCATCTTTATGGAGCCTTTACACAGAATTATCAGGTCGGTATACTTGGAAACAATCAGAAAATCAGATCATGGTAGTTGCTGGCGTTCAGCGCATCTAAAAAACCGGTCCAAAAAGCCAATAGGAATCATGCTACTATGTAGTAAAGATTACTGTTGGCGTAGTTTATCATTGTTTTAAACTCTGTTGTGCAAAGGTCTACCTCTATCGTTAAAATAATAATTTTGCCTGTTTGCCGAAGCTGTTTTACAGCAGAAGGTTGATTTTATAGCCAATCGAAAACTACTGGACATTAACGCATAAATAAATGGATTAATGCAGCTTTTAGATATTTTAAGTAGCTTAGTTATGAACCACAAGCGCTGCAATTCAATAGGCAAACTGTTTTTTTTTATTGAATTCGGCAATCAGCAAATAACGGCATATTGTATTCGGTGACGTCATGCACAGAGAGACAACAGCCACAATGGTCATTTTTATAAGGATCTGAAAAAAAAATAGAAAGAAGAAAATTACTTGTGCCAGCTATTAGTATAGTGGCTTGTTTTGTGTTTTTAGGTTGCAGCTATTGATTTTTATAAGAGTTAAGATTTCTTTATTGTCCAAAGAAGGAAATTCCGAGCGGGAACATTTTTATTTGAATATTATATGCATACACACTTTGAACTATTTATTGAAGACTTTTAGTAGTGTAGTACAATTTAAATGAACAAGAGAAAAGAAAATAGTATTGGAAACAAGTTAATCTTAGATCTAGATAATTAACTTAGGAATTGTATAAAAAAGAAAGTTTTTGTGAGACTTCTCTAGGAATGTAGATCTATAGAAACATAAATGTACAACTTCATTAGAGTCTCTATCAACGCTATTTTTTTTACCTGTACAATTTCTTTAGTCTCTATCAACGCTCTCTTTAATTATATTTCCTTCAGAAATTCTATCAGAGTTAAATGATAATATATATTGAAATATTGTGAGCTTCCAGCATGAAATATAGTGAGCTGGTTGGTCAATGACTTTTAATGAGTAGATAACACAGTTCCTGTTTGTACACTGCAAAGCTTTTATTCAGCAATAGCTACTATACATATTTACGGGTTTCTTAGATGTTAAAGAACCTTTTGAGTGGAGTCAACTTTTAATCTATAATTCTACTACAACTGATCAGATTCGGTGATGTGGGGTGTTTGCCTATTATACTCAAGGAACTATAGAGGGTTGTGTCTAGATTAAATCACCCCATTCTTTTAGAGTTTCTGATTGGATCATAGAGAAATTCTTTCCCTGTGATTTAATAGATAGTTTACCAAAAATTTGCTAATTAAGATATTATTACAAACTTCAAGACATAGGCTTAAACTTCAATCATAGATTAATAGTGTGTGAAAGACCAAGTCCAAACCACTAGGGTGAAGTTATAAATGACCAATTGTATGATAGATTATCTGTATATTCAGTTTGACTATTTAAGCTGTGAAGTCAGTTTTAGACATTTAACAGGTGAAGCGGTATCGATGATATACAAGATTCCAATTGTTATATAAGTTAATATTGTTGAACCTTAATACTACATTACATTCATTTCATTTTTTTTAAACATTATAACTCAAGGGTAAAATATATGTGTAGTAAACGTAAAACAATATAACAATTCAATTCATCTCTCCATTATTTTCTTAGAAAATGAAAATGAATAACATTTTTGATTTTCGAGGTTAATCATTCTAACACGCTTTGTTTGCATGTGTCTTAGTCTTACCAATTAAACATTAGATTGTATTTAAACGTCTAGTCTTGCCAAATCAGACGTCATATAAAAACATATTTAAAAGTAAAATAACTTATGAGGAGGAACTTGAATTAACTTTTATTTAACTTAACTAACATTATTTACTTATCTATTTGCTAAAAAAAATAATTTGCTTCTATTACACGTAGACTTAAATTCTTGTCGTGTTTAATAACAATACACAATATTCACTTTAACTCGTTTAATATCATCAAGTATTTCATAATCGTTTATTCGTATACCTTTATCATATATTATTCTAAGCATTTTCATGACAAGTAAAATTATGTAAATTTGTACTATATGTACTCGTAGGTACCAGCATTTAGTATTCATTTAAACTGACGCGTGTATCCTCATATTACATATCTTTAATTAAACTTGCATGGCATTAACAACTCAACAAGTAATAAGCTTGTTCATTTTAGTTTTGCAATATAGGCTTGGATTATTCAATAAGTTATTAATTGCTTCATTACATTTAAATCATTAAAAAATTGTTGTATTCCTCGTCATAAAATTATAAACTCAATTTAAATAATTAGACAACATGTCAATATAATTCGTACTTAAATCATTACGCTGTGTATTCACACAATATAATTTAACGTTCTCAATATTTAAATTGAATGTTCGTATCAATATTTATTTCAAGATTTCAGTATAATTCCATATTAACAAGGTAAATTAATTTTGGGAATAAGTAACTAAACTTCAACGTTCTCGAATTTATTAAAGTGCGTTTGCGAACGGTGCAATTAGTAAGTTAATGGTTATCATCACAATTTAAAAGAATTTCTTCCTGTTCACGTTCAAGTCATATCAATTAAACATATTATAATTTTTTTTTAATCTGACCAGTAAATTAATTACATTAATAAAAACGAATTTTATTCATATCAATTATTATTTAGCTTTAATAACCTCAAAAATTGCCTGGCTATGAGCAATTGAAATTGGTTATACAAATTGGTATACATGTGCGATTCAGCAAAATAAACGGTCCGTTAACCTAATATGTTCTGAATTATTGCTATATTATTGATGTTTATACTATTGTTTTGATATGAAAATCAATCAAGTATTGATTAAAATGTGCCCGTATTAATGTTCAACAATTTGCTATTTTGACATTTACTTGTTTGAAAAAAAAATGGGCACAACAAAAACGTGGTAGATGTAGTAAAATCAAATTAATTACAAAAATAGGTATTAAATGAAAACCAATTTTTAATGAAGGATTAAAAAAAATAAACAAACTCTTTCTCACAATGTTGGAATGCAACGTGTTCAACTTACCCAATTATACGTCTGTAATATTTACAACATTCATGCAAGTTCATATCAAAATTAAAATTCAATCGAATTAAAATATAATGTTTGAATTAAAGTTGGTCTAATGTTCAAAAATATTCTGTAGCATTGCAATTTCTGTCATCAGGAAGGGAAGTCCAATTAATGTCGACTTGTTTCGAATCCTAAAATATTTGTCATCTTTCGGCTTGTCTCGAATCTTAAAATTGTTTCATTTGTCGGCTTGTCACGAATCCGATTTTTTTTCTTGTTTCAATTCTCTTTTTGTAATGTCGACGCTTGTATTTTTTTTTACTGCTCATGGGTTTCAATTCTTGTTGTTAGTTAGTTGCAGTATTTGAAGAAAAATTTTAATTCAGTTCAAGAGTCATTTTAGTCATCAAAACAGGACCAACAATCTGCTTAATACTTAATCGGCTTGCGTTTATTTCGTTTCCGTCTGTTTCGAAGAGCTCAGTATTGGAGAGGATGTACGGTGAGATCAATGCCCGGGTCTTCCATCAATAAATATAAATATTGTGAGCTTCCAGCATGAAATATTGTGAGCTGGTTGGTCAATGACTTATAATGAGTAGATAACACAGTTCCTTTTTGTACACTGCAAAGCTTTTATTCAGCAATAACTACTATACATATTTACAATTGATTAACTCAGGTTAAATGGAGTCGGCTCTTAATCTATACTTCTACTACTACTAATATGATTCGGTGATGTAGAGTGTTTGCCTATTATACTCAATGTACTGGGGGTGTGTCTAGATTAGGTCACCCCATACTTTTAGAGTTTTTGATTGGATCATAGATAATTTTTTTCTCTATGATTTAATAGATTGCTTACCAAAAAGTTGCTAATTAAGATATATTACAAACTTCAAGACGTAGGCTTAAAACTTTCAATCATAGATTCATAGTGTGTGAAAGGCCAAGTTCAATTCACTAGAGTGAAGTTATAAATGACCAATTGTATGATAGAATATCTGTATATTATTCAGGTTGACTCTTCAAGCTGTCAAGTCAATTTTAGACATTTAACAGGTGAAGGAGTATCGATGATATACAAATTCCAATGGTTATATTATTGAACCTTAATACTACATTACATTTTAGTAGAAATCTATTAAAATTCTATAAAAGAAGGTTGATAAATTCCTATAGAATTAACCTATAGAAATGCTGTAGAAAGTTATAGAACTGTTTCTTTGGAAATTCTATACATTATTTTCCCACGAGAAAGAACCCAAAGTATATGGAAAATGAGAAAATTCCTGCCGGGGCTTCAGAGGAGATACTTCCAAATTGCGCCGAGGAGCAGAATTGATATATGTTAGGCCTGGACATATAAATCCATAATTTATAAACGCATTTGATTCAAATAAACTAGATTATGACATACCTTTTTTTGATTTCTGAGAATCGGGTGTGTAAACTCTTTACTTTGGTTCGACTCTTGTAAACGATTACTGGTACTGTGTATTGCTCTAATGAGGGTTACAGATGTAATGACGTAAAATACTATTAGGATGACTGCCGGAGTTATAAAGTGTGTTATAGGTTTCCACTCGTCGAACTCACCATTCAAAATAAGCACATACCTGTAGTCCTGCAGAAAGGGAGAGATAAAACTAAAGTAACTGTAGGGACAAGATGCAAACTAGTTAATGAATGTGCAAGTATTTACTATTAGCAATACGTTTGCAGTGGCATTTTCGCCTCCAACAAAAGACTTTGTCCTACACCCACCAATCCCCCCTCCCACCAATCACGTCATTTGGATGCTACCGCCACTCTCTTTAATCATTCAGTCCCCAAACTTACTCATTTTCCCCAACCCAGTATAAGTCACTGCTCCTAGACATGCCAGTGAACAAGTACAAAACTAAAGTCTCCCTCCAATTAAAGACCACTTTTAAGACCACGGTTTTGGTGGTTTATAGCAGATTTTGTAAGGGATTTCTTTGAAATCTAGACATCAATTCCTGTACTTGTTAAAAGTAACTTTCCATACTACTAACACCACCACAAACATTATTGTTACTACTAAACACACTACTTACACTTACACTTAATGTTTACCGAAAATAGTAAAGGCTAGTGCCATTATCTTCCAAGTCTTGACTTAAATATGCTAACCGAAAAGTCATGTACTATATGCTCTGGCAGGGCATTCCAGTAATTGATGACTGTTAACAAAAGTTTACCGTACACATGAGATTTCCTTTACATTCTCTGATATAGTTTCAAGCTGTGTCCCCTGGTTCTGATGTTATTGGATAATTTAAGGAAATCTTCTTGAACCATATCCTCAAAGCCTTCAACATTGTAAAATCTTCAATAAAATCGCATCGCTGTCTTATTGTCTCTAATAATAGCAGATCAAGACATTCTAGCCCTTTTTAATAATGGCAGATCCCTTATTTTCTTTACCAACTTTGGGTCCTTCTCTGCATCTTCTCCAATATTTCTTTGTCTTTGGTTCCCCCCCCCCAATTATGGGGACCAGGACTGAATATAGTATTCCATATTATGTGGACGGATACATGCCTTGTACATGACCTGAACGCTGTCTTTGTCGATGATTTTGAATGTTCTTTTGATAGTTCTCATACGAGGTAACTGGCTATTGCTTTGCATGTAATCGATCACTTGTGAAAATCACACCCAGATCTTTTACTTTGTTCACTGGCTACAATGTTTCTCATTTGAAGTTGTATACCGATTCCTCTGCCATTCTGCCAACATGAAGCACTTTACATTTCTTTGCATTGAATGTTAACAGCCTGTCCCATGATCATTCCTGAGCCATGTCAAGATGGCGTTAAAATCTTCTGGAATCAAACTTATCTTTGACGGTCTTTATAATCTTTGCATCATCAGCAAACCTGCGTTGACACTTTTATTTGGAAGGTCGTTTATGTATAGGATAAATAGAATTGGTCCAAGGACCGATTCCTGCGAAACTCCATTTACTACATCTATAGGCTTTCTTACAACCAATTTAACATATAAATTTAACTAACTAACTATTGTTCGTAAAAATACTACTACTTACGTTATGAAGAACATGAGTTGCACACAAAATTGAAATTACCCAGATAATTGCTGTAACAATTAACATTCTTTTTAAAGTGAAGAGCGTGCGAACCCTGAGTGGGTATCTCAAAACGTAACATCTTAAAATAAAAAAAAATAACGGTTTAAATAACAGTATCATAATGTCAACAGATAATGGATATATA